CCAGCCAGCCGACCAATCAGCCAGCCGACCAACCAACCACCCAACCAGCCAACCAACCAGCCAGCTACCCAGCCAGTTTTCAACACAATAGGTTTTTTGACACAGAGGAGGTGCAACCTATCACTCAATTCTGAATTGATAAAACACAGACATAAGAAGCACTGACAATCTAAATTTTAAAAAGGAGAAAAGCTAGAAGCTGTGATTCAGATTCAGAGACCTAAACAAAAATGAGAAGATTGGTGCAAAAGGAATCCAGGGCAGATGCTGTCCGGATCCTTGGCCAAAAGCATAGCCTCTCCCCATCCAATACTTCCCTTCAGAAACCCAAACAGCATCTTAACAACTGTACTTTTATGCATTCACGTGAAAGCATACAGGAATGACTTTTATATTGACTTGACTTCTGGTATTTCAAATACAATTTCTTTAAGCAAATCGCCTTCGTTTATACAGCCAGATGCAGCATGGTAGAGTTCAATGCTGTACTAACAAAAACCAAGAGGCGTCTACAAATCTGCTGGCTTTCTGAGAAGCACACACAATCCGCAAAATGAAAGGCCAAGTTTCCAGCTAAAGGAGAGATTTTAAACAATTACCAAAGCAGATAGTGATATCATAAAGGCAATTTCTGCGCTAGCTTGTTTTCTGAAACTCTCTTTGCCTCTGAACAGCAAGAACAGATAATAACTATTAGTAAATCAAACTCCTGCAATATCCAGCTGTGTCTCACACATTTACATACAGATAGAATGGGTATATGTTTTTAATATGTATGCGATACGTACTTTTACCACAGCTGAAGTGCACGCTACAAAGGAGGAGGAGAATGGGAATGGAATCAGCATGAGATAATAAAGTGGCCTAGATAAAGTATTAGCCAGCGATTGATCTCAAACAGGGGATGTTGCTTCTCTCTGACCTGATTACTTACTATGCATAGATTCCATTAAATAGAGCTTAGAATGGAAAGCTTCTGAAAAATACTGTAAATGCAGACAGATCTACGGCTTCCTGAGCTGCACCAGCATGTGGATGCCCACCCATACGCTCGGCACAAGGAGATGGAACCTTCCCTGCGCTGCCCCATCACACGCCCTCAATGCAGGCACCCTGCTCCAGCGTGCCGCGATGCCCTGGGAGCCTGGCCTGCAGAGCCAGACAGCTCTGTGGTGTACATGCAAACAGCAAGTTCACGGAAAAAATAATCTTTAAGGAAAAGGATTGTTGAGATCTTCCTTTTCTTGCTGGAAAGCAAGAGAAGAAAGGCAGGAATACGCTATGATGCTGCTCAGACTTCCACAGCACTGCAACACAAGCAAGTTCCATTGACTCTGTGCCTTCCTCTTCTTAAGAAGAAATTGGAGACAGAAGAGCAGGCAGAGTAAGAACAAGGTTCAGAAGAACCACCAGTGAATTACACAGATCACTCCCCCTCTGGAACGGACCACTTGCCAGCTGCTGGGTGAAATCACTCCTTTGCACTCCTGCGGAAGAAGTCTGCTAGAAGAAGTGGAAATACTGCAAAACAATTAAATTGCTGATTATATATATATATACTTATGCAGAGAAACCAGCGTTAGGCATTTTTTGTGTGGATGGGGAAGAGAGACTAAGTGTAGATACAGAAAGTTGATTTCTGTCAGCTGTTGTGGAAATCAGGTGTCCGTTTCCACAGGAATATCCATGGTACCAGGAAGGCTGACTTTATACAGGAATTTCATGCAGCCTTGGCTTTGGCCCTGTTTTCTAAGAAGATGTGCACAGTACCCCTCCTAACATGACAGGCAGGGTAAAAGCATCCCTGCTGCAGCCCTACGACTTTGCTGGAGTCACCAATGTGGCACTCCAGGTATTGTGAGCCAGCTCTTAAAATGCCTTTAACAATCCACTGATTATCAGGAGAGCAGAACAAGATTGATGTTCTGCTCCCTTCATTTTGCTTCCAGTCTTTAATTATACTAAATTGGTTACAAAATAGTGACTTCCAGTACGGTTAATGTCCATAGGGGACAAAATCTGCACTCTGCTGTTTTGTCTGAAGCTAACGATGATAACGTGTTACACCTTTCATCCTTGCCAGTACATTTCCTTTAAATCAAAACAATGAACAATGTGAAATCCTGCTTTCACTGAAATCAATGGTAAGCTGACCTTGAGAGCTCCAGAATTTCACTGATAGTATCTGTATCACTCTACCCACTGCTTGTTAACACAGAGATATCCATCAGAATTACAAGGCAAGTTTAGGAAATGGAGGAGGGGAAACTAGAAAGGCTGTTTTGGTCAGTAATTTAAGAATTCAGAGGGTATTTAACAGCTTTTGGTTTGGCCTTGTTTTCCAACTAAGCACGGAAATGTATACAAACATGTGAATATGCATGTTCAGTAGCTTTGTTGGTGGGGATGGGCCAACGGGTTAGGTTAGATGATCTTAGAGGTCTTTTCCAGCCTCAATGATTCTATGATGCTATAGATATCTGTAGATAGATATAGAAATGGACTTGGACTCGATGATCTCTGGAGGTCCCTTCCAACCCCTACGGTTCTGTGAAATACATATGTATTCTTACATATGGATATTACAGATAAAGTGCTCCTTGACAAGGCTGGCTAAGTGCAGGAATGCAAAGAATCTGTCTGGAGAGCAACCACTGAGCTCCCAGCAAACCTGCTGCAGGAGCATGCCATGTCCTGGGAACCCATCCCACTGCAGGAGGGAATTGAGAGCAGCTGCTGGGGCTCAGCCACACGGCAGGCAGTGACGGGGTCACTGCTTCCTTCCAGCAGCAGCCTGCTTTGAGCTTCAGCATTTGCTGCTGCATGTTCATTTATAATTGACTAGGAAGTATCATAAGGGAAAAAATGTGTTAAACAAAAGATTTTGTTTAACAAGTGGGAAAGCTTTTTTTTTTTTTTTTTCTTTTTTTTTTTTTCTCTGAGCAGCTATAATTTTAAAATTATTTTACAAAACACCTCCTTAAAAGGGGCCCAGCACACTCGAGGGCATGTAGCTGTAAAGATAAATCTGCACACTTCCCTGGTACTGCAGGCACTCACCCTTTGGCCTCATTTTTATGACTCTACACCCTGGAGTGGTGTTATTGCTTACAAACATACATATATACTTATGGGGGTATGTGAGATCTGCAGATGTTTTATTTATAAGTGGCAGGCCTATTGCATCACTGAAACATACATTTACAAAGAGATATAGGTTTTATGAAACCCTATTCCGTTGTTTTAATAGCTAAGCTATCCAGCCATAGCATAATAGTGCACAAGGTAAATGTGTCTACATTTCTAGAACCTGTTCCAAGTTTTCTCAGATGTGACTAACTGCAAGAATTTCCCAACCATCAAAAGTTAATAAAAAAAAAAGACAAAATAAGGCAGCGGAAGCCTTCCATGTGAGATGCACATCACCATCTCACAGGGGCTCTGAGAAACTTGAGGGCCTCATCCTGCTGAGGTGTTACAGAGGGTGCCGGACTCCAAAGGTAAACCTATTGAAGTTAACATCCTTAAAATGAGACCCAGAGTTAAACACTTTATTAACCAGGGTCTAAATTGAGGCTAGCCTGGATCGTGCACTACCTGCCCCAGGGCATCTCTGGAGACTGGCCTTTAACTAGAGAATGGCTGCAGTAGAAACGCTGGGCTTTTATCTTTCCTTGTAGATTGTAGAATGTAAACAAGAAAGGAAAGGATGCAAACACGCTCCGCATCTCACTGAAGTCTGCTGAAATTATTTCCACATAGTCAATGCAGAGAAAATAAATGATGATGACTTTACGCCAATCTCCAAGTGACAGGAAATGCAGCACATGAAGAAAGTAACAAAACCCTTAAAAATCAAAGCTATCTGATGCGATTCAGAGCAGGCTACAACTCCTACCTCCAGCAGAATTTACTCAAATATTCTGTATTCTTGTAGCAGCTCAATAACAGTACTGTGCACCAAATGCACAGCCATGGCAGGCCATCCTGGGAGCAGGCAACCTGTCCTCACCTTCCTGAAACAATGACAGGCACAAGAAAAGGAAGAGGTCTCTGAGCTCAGATTCCAATGCTGAGAGCCCTTCTATGAGAAAACCGAAGCTACATATTAACTCAACCTGCTGTAGCCAATCTAATTCCATTTTACATGAATACAAGTGAAAACAGGAGCTCCTGCACGTCGTTAAAAATACGCTGCTTTGACCAAATGTCCAGTTTTCAATCTTCAGATTTTGAAAGGTTAAGGCTGGCAAACGATGACAAGGCATGACCTACATCAAGCTGTAATCCCTGGACATACAAACTGAAAGAACGGTGTATCGAGCATCAAAATGGTTCTGACTGGAAATTGATGCTGCCTGTGAAAGTTCTGTATCGACTGCCCAAATCACAAGTGCAGCTTTGGCCACAACAAAGGGAACAGCAAAATACCCATTAACTGCACCGGGATCAGAATTCCACCTTTTGTGTGCTCTATGTAACTGTGCAATTGCTTCACAAGCCCAAAATAGTTCATATTTGTACACGCTGAAAAATGCAAAAAAATAACGCAAGCCCCACAAAATTAATGATAATAATTAAAAAAAAAAAAAAGCAACAGTAAACCAACAAGAAAACCCCAAAACTCCACTTCTGTATATATTAATAAGAAACATTGAGAGAAAAGTAATACCGGAGGCTCTGAAGTTTCACTTACCATTAAATCTTCAGGTGCTGGTCTTTCCTTAGGTTGCTTTTTCATACTACATATCACAAAAGAAAACATTCACATATAAACAGATGTTTATTTATTCCATTTGCTTTAGTATTGAAGACATCCTCTTTTAACACAGTCAGACCGTGCCCAGAATCTCCATCCATTTCTTAACTTGATCACAGGCTGACAGAAGACACGGCTCCCAATGGTGGCCAAGACGTGGCCCAACCTCCCCCTCCACCCATCCCTTGTGGCCAGCGTTTCTCCATTCTGAGTGTTCTGCTGACAGCTGCCCAACTTTCAACTTTTCTTGCATGCCTTTGAAGTCCCCTACACAGGTACAGGTTCCTTTCACCAGTTCTGAAACGTGTCATACCTACTGATATCCTTCTCCAAGTGCCTACTTACCCGGGCAAGAGATGCAGTGACAACAGCTTCCCTTCTATTTCATGGCCTGCCCTGCTTGCAGCCATGAGCATGTGTGGATATGAAGATCACTGCAAACCAATCAGCTCAGAAGGCATAGGAAGATGCTTCTCGTTTTGCTGGGGATTATTACATAGCTCGGCACAACATATTATCCAAACAGGTGGGAAATTTAACTCCAGCACTGAGCAGCTTCAGGAGAACACACAATACCCCGGGGTTTCTACCTTAATTTTTTCCCATTCATTTCCATTACACTGCAGGGTGATAGTTCATTACACAGCATTAAGCTGTTTATAAGATCATGTTTCTCATCCAAATAGTCCTAGTTTTCTGTGCAACAGGTGCAATTAGCTATTGAAAACTGTGCTTAGCTGCATGAAGGAACACAATAACATGGCACAGAGGTGACCATCAGGAGCTGCCTACTGACTAATTGGATTACATCCAAGCAGCAGTGTTTATGGCGGAACTGGCATCAAGTCCTGTGTGCTGCTCACTTGACATCTCTAATACTTATTAGAAATTGATTGCTTAAATAGTCCACAGTGTAATTTCTTTCTCGCATAGTGCATTTTTAAACAGTAATGCCCCCTTCTGAAAAGAGCTGCCTGCAGTACAGCCGATAGAACACTATCTCAGCAATCCTGGATGAACTGTGTTGCAATTAGGAGGAGCTCAGATATGATTTACCCTCCCGACAGATAAGGAAATCACCAAACATTCCCCACAAATAACTGGAACAATGCAGGTAACAGCGGGCGCCGACGCAGGTTGGGAGCAGCTCTAATCTGACAGCCCAAAGTAGCCGCATCCCCGGGGAAAACCAGGCTATTAGCCACCATCAGTTATGCTTCACTTTGACATCTGTGGAAATTTGAACACGGGTTATCCCTCCCCCTGCCTGAACGAGGGCTGTTTTTTTTTCCAAGCAGTCCGTCATTACCCTCGGAAGGAATTAAAAATGCACAGCCCCACGCACAGCGGCGGTGCTGCAGAGCCCTCCGCACGGAGCTCTGCCTGTAAGCTGAAACTATTGGAAAAAGGAAGCCTACGTTATCCAACCTTTAATTATTTAGGAACTTTAATTAACCGATAATCAGACTGCTTTTGGTTTCTGCAATGTTTGTGGCGTCCCATCTCGGCCCCGCACTACGTACAAATACACGAATCCCTGGGGCAGCAGGCAATCTGAATGTGCCACGAACCCGACGGGCACGAGTGCGTGGAGTTGAGGGCACTGCCTGCCTGCTTCAGTGGAGAGAACCCCAAAAGGAGAGGAGTCCCCCCATCTGCGCAGCCCTGGGTGGCACCCCGCCACGTCCACATCTGGGTGAGCACCTCATCAGGGCATGCTCACTGCGAGGGATGCTCCTCCATCCCACACATCGTGCCTGTGCAGAATTTGAGCTTGTTCATTCTGCCACGTAGAAAAAATAAATAACATTTCCCTTTGCTTTGTTTCTGTTAGGAGAGTTTACCCTTAAAATTCTTACCCTCCTGCCACTAGTCACTACTAAATGACTTGAGGGTCATTCAGACCCTGCCGTCACCCCACACATCAGAGAGGTGCGTTCTTTATTCCACAAATTCCTCCTTGCCCATTCTCCTCTCATTTCCAAGCTTTTCAACGAACAATCCGGTTTGAAGGAAAGAAAATACACCCAACAGTGCATTTTAAAGTACGACTCTCAGTAAAAATTACTTACTGGGAAGCCAAGGAATTAATCAGGGCTGCCTGTCTCTCCAAACACCGCGGTGATTTTATCAGTAATACTGCAAAAAGCCCTAAATTATGGTATGACACATCCGGGACTCCGCGGCCCCTCTCCCCCAAATGAATCCTTCGGTCCCACCGCCAGCTCTGCACCCACATCAGGGTTTATTAAAACAGGGAAAACCCACGTAAGTACTTTTACGACCCTTTGTGTAAATAACGTTTACATAATTTAAACAGTTTGCTTAGCTTTGCTGCCCCATCTGCCCAAGGCCCCCAAGTCCCTCTCCTCTCGGAGCGGATGCAAGGAAAGCCATAAGGTCTCGCCGAGCCGCGGAGTTAATGGCATGTATCATTTACATCGAGGGCATGGCATGTTTGCAAACGGAGCTTACCATTGAGTGATGAAGTGTACAAATGGCTCCGAGAACTCCCCGGCTGGAAGGACGGGCGACTCCTGGGTTGGATTGGAACAAGGAACAGCGTCAGAAGAGCATTTTTTAGAAGGAGAGCAATACAACAGCGATGACAAAAAAGGGGGGGGGGGAAGGAAGTGACAAAGCTCCCTTTTCACGCAGAGAATTGGAGAGAGAAAGGTACAGATTCTTCTGAGAACGTGTTACAAAAACACTGAATTTCGACTAATGAGTATTACACAATGGGTAAAAACATGTGGAAAGACACTGAGGGGAGGTGAAAAAAGGACAATGATAGCCACAGGGTAAAAAGGAAGGTAGGGAAAGTGTAAATGAGAAATTAATGATTATTTAAGTAACACACAAATGGTCTTGTAATTAACAAAGAGCTGTGAAATTATTCTTGTGTTGACCTTTGTTTCTTTCACTGCTTTCGCTATTTATTTACACTCATGTTTATTTACACTTATTCATTTTAGAGGCTGTCCTAGCAGGAAGGCTGTTCCAGATTTTAAAATGTTTTCTAAATAAAATCATTTTTAGGGGGAAAACGGGCAAAATTTACCAGGCTGGTGAAAACCAGCACCCGGCATTCGGGGGAAAAGAATAAAAAGAGAGAAAATAAAATGAAGAGCAGAAGGAAAAAAATCTCCACCCAAACGGGGAACAAACAACATCCCCATTTACAAAGACAGGCTTTACGAATTTAGGAGTTTTTCCAAGAATGACAGAGAGCTCCACTGTGTTTATAGTGTAACAGCTCAGGATGTAATGAAATTACACTGCAGAGTACTTTAACAGTGTCATCTCATTAGACCTACAGTTGGAACAAGAGAGCCACATAAAACAGGCAGCTGCAAATGACTCCATTCTCATCTATTCTCATTTGCTATTAAAAATACCTTTCGGCGGCTTTTTTCCTCCCTGACATCCCTACACAAAGTACCCCGCAAAGTATGATACATGCACCTATTTAAATTAACAAAGGAATGACTTATTTTAATCTCACTGTGCTTTGGAGTGCTTTGGCCATTTGGATGAGCAATATATCATTACATACAACCTTCCAGCGCTGCAGGCAAGAAACTCAGAGCGTGCAGCATTTGGTGGGAGCCAAACAATTTCTCTAGCACACAACTGTGTCAAATGCATGCATGTATTCATTATTGAGAATGCGAGGAAATAGCTTTGATGTAGTGGAAAAAAGAAGATGATAAAAGCACCTCTGCAATGTGTGTGCCATTATCAATGGTGGCAGATAGACACAACTGCAGAGCCTCCTATGTGATTAGTAAATATACATATAATTGCTGTGGCCAATTATCAGAAAAATGAGATCGGTAATTACAAGACAGAAAATTAACTAGAACTCTTATTAAGGCTTTGTTTCCAATTCAAACAATCGGAAACTGCTGGAAAATACAATTAAATCAAAAGTAACTGAAGAGTAAAAGGAGAAGGCAAAATTGCTTGACAATTTTCAGAGTTCTATTAACCACGAGCAGCGTTTGATAGAACATGCCCAAATTCCCTTTGAACTTAGGCCGGGCGAGGGAGAGGTTATTGTTTCCCAACTTATAAATGACAGCAATATGGGCTGGTTTGCACCGCAGAGCGGGAGGAACGCAGGGAAACAAACAGTGCAATTAAACTTCCTCCACTTCAAAGAGCTGCGCATGAAAATTAGTCTTATTAATACCGAAAGCACAGAGCCAAGTGTTGGAGCACCAAGGGCCGCAGCCCAGCAGGTTGAGCTCTCCCATCGTTTGCTCCTGTCCAGCACGCAGCCAAAGGCCAACACCTCCTTCCCAGGTGGGATGGGGTGAGAGCACAAAAGCAGGACAGGAGCTGTGTGTGTGCAAAGGGGCGCTGTGAAAATGGGAAGGCAAAGTACCGGAGCCCACTGTTGGGGTCTGGGTGCACCCAGCCAACTGTCCCACGCTGTAGGTGCAATGAGAGCAAAGCAGCACGTGTTGGGGCAGCGGGGGGGGCACAGTGCACTGCACAGCCAGCGGGTGGGAGATTTCTGCCTTTGCCAAGGGATGGTGGACCAGCAATAGAGGGAAGCTTCACGAGGAGAGGCCGATAGAGAGCTCTGAAGCCACTCTTCTTTCCAGTGCAGACTGTGAGGGGTGGGATAAACACTGACTGGATCCCAGCAGGAAAAGGAGATGCTTTAATGCAGTCTGCCCAGGGATTTTAGGTTGGACGTCCTGCATATTTGTCAGTCATTTGCAGGACAAATTGCTACTCTTTGGGGACAGTACAGCAATCTCAAAAAAACGTTCACTAGGAAGCATGTCTGAAAGCAAACAGATCAGCAGAAATAGGTAATTTCACTTGGGTAAATAACAGCCAATCCTTACTTTACAGCATGGGTAAGATGGGAGAAGGAAGCTCTGGTTTTAGCTGAACCAGGAAAGCATGGATGGACCTCAGCTGCTTCCAAAGGCAGACGCTGGAGAGCTGCCTCCAGTGTTTCATTTTTAAATGACCTCAGTAACAGAAATGGCCCCTTCAGTTGCCAGCCAGCCACGGAAACCAGCAATGGAGACACTTCTATTTCTGCCATGGTTCCACTGCAGAACGTTTGAGTAGCAGAAAGTTAAGAGTATTTTGTACTTAGAGTTATTTCCATGAAAGTGCTCCTATTGCTGCCTGTGGGACGTGAGCAATCACAATGCACCAAGTGCAGAGCAAAAACATCCCAAACCGCACAGAAGCAGCACAGCCTATATGTACCCTGAAGTTCCCCAGCCTGTGACTGACTCTGAAAGGGATGGAAAAGACAAAATAAAAACAAAACTACAGCCTCTGCCACATCGGTGTGACACAATACAGTCACACTGGATGGAACAAGGAGGAATGCTCCGGCTGTACTCCGATGCTCTGCCTTATTTTACCCACCTGCACACTGAACAACATTCACCCTGCCTCCCCCAGCAGCTTGATCCCAAGGCCAGCTGCTGTCCCAAAAGCATCTCTGCAATGGGACCCGCTGCAGGAGAAGCCTCTGCAATTGCTTTGTGATAAGAACCAGCCGTGCTGTGCACATACGGAGGGCAACAGGAAAAGTTTGAGTGATGCCTTTGCCTTGTGAATAATGAACAGTTCAAGGAGGTCAACCCATTACAACTGAAACCGTTTAATTATTAATTATGCACAATCTATGAGCAAAAGGACAAGTTCAGAATGTTTAATGTGTGGTAACTCCAACTGGACCCTCTCTTGGCATTTTATTATTAGCACTTGTCAGCAAGGTGCTCAGGCATAAAGAAAACAACACAGCAGCAGAAAATCAGAGCTAGCAGGAGGAGGGAGGGCTTTGAACTTCAAACACGGCTCCTAATATTTAATTCTCAGAATGCCAGTGCTCTGGTACAGACCTTACTAACTTCCATGGCAGGGGGAAGCTGTGTTATATAGGCAAAGGCACGGAAAGAAGCACAGCACAGTCCCTTTAAAGAGAGGGCATCCGAAGGCACTGATGGCATTACCTCCTGCATCCCCACCCACTTCTCAGATCTCTTATCTGAAACGTCTCTTGATCTCTTTTGCTGCCATTAAGCAGAGCAGCAGCAGCAGAGATTCTGCTGAGGCTTAGAGAATAAGTACTGTCCAACAAACTCACAAATGATGGGAAGAAACATAAATGAGGCTCCTTCTCCTCCTCTCTGTCCTCCTTGGAAGTTTGTCTGGACAAACCCAAGAAGCAAATTCAACAGACACAGCTGACTGGCCTTGGAAACACGTCAATGGAACTTGGAATTCATCTCTGACTGACCAAGTACACTAAAACCAGGCTGTGTTGTACACAGCTCTCCCAAACAGAACGCTTCTTGAGTGGCATTTTCTCAAAACAACTGAAAGCTGGAGATTCATCACATCGTCCTTTCCGAAGGAAGAAAAAGCCCCCCATTTTGCTATGACAGGAACACCAGCAAACACAGAGTTCTACTTGAAACCTTCCAAAGGACGACGGCAAAGCCCTCAGTTATGCATTAGGGCTCCTTGCCATCACAGATCCCCAAGCAGAGCTGAGCTGCACCTTCTGGGCAGAGGCTGGTGCGCTCAGCACACGTAGGTTTTACCTTCTCATCTGCTCAGCACCTCTCTCTGAAGGGTTAAAATTTCCGTTTCCCACAGCTCCAGAGCTGCTATTTTGCAGCACTCTCTCGGCAGTGTGCAGGCTTGTGCAGAAGGAAATGCCATGGTCCTATGGCTCGATGGCCACAAGAGGGAAGTTAGCAGAGCCGAGCAAACCAAACTTCAGTTACTCTGTCCTCTGGGCTTCCCAGCACACCCTGCCTCTGAAATTATCATCTCCTCTGGGCAGATACTCCTATTCTGCAACTCGCCCGCTGATGCTGAAATGGCAGTATTTAATAAATAATGTGTGCGCTTTACGAAGCATTTTTGGCTCATCACTTCAGCCTACTCCAATCCCTGGCACTGAAGAGTATCTGTGTGCTCTAGTTTTTACCAAAGCTTTTGAACAATACACCTATAGCTGCTGTTTACTTTCTGGCCAAAAAGTGACTTTTTTTCAGACAAACTTAAGTTTTAGCCGCACCTGAAACGCTGCCAGTTGCAATTAGGTGTAATACATGCACTGCAGTTACGGAGCCGTTCCAACGAGAGCAGCAAATCACAGTATCACACACGTTCAGATTCACTCCTTCAAGGTCAACTTCCCTTCAAAGCACTCCTAAACAAAATCCCATCGCTGACTTTTAGCCAATCTACTTCAAAAGCCCCGCAGAAGCCTAATGGCAGGTGAGCCCTTGCAAGTAACGAGTGTGCAAAAGCAATGATGTCTGGAGGTGGCTCAGAGGCCCCGACTTGAAAGAATTTCTGGATCGTCCCCATTACGCTCCCACCCCTGGCAGGAAGGTGAAAGATGATTACATCTCCGCGCCAGGTCGCTTCTTGCTCTTTCCTCAGTAGCAGGTGCCAAATGTGACAAATGACACGCGGGGGCATTTCGGTGTGAAGTTCCGTCTGCTGGGATTGAAGTGTCAGCAGTGAACTCATTTATTTCCAGATCTCGGGCTGGACTGGAACCAAGGTCGAGAGGCCAGTGTTTTATCCAGCAAACCCCTCCGCCTGCCTCCCACACCTCACCCCGTGGGACAGCCCGCTGTTCTCCCAGGCAGCGCTACCTGCTCCCAACCAAAGACAACACGGCGTCCACATAACCTACATCCACACGGGACCCACGCGGGCGCTTGCGGTGGGAAGCCAGTAAGCACCTGGAGCTCTCTGGCAGCATTTGCCGCTGTGGGATGCTTTTTAGAGGCCAAGGAAAGAAGCTGAAGAGTGTAATTAACATTAGGAATAATCTAGAGTGTCCAACACGACATTCCCCACCCCTCGCCAAGCCCTGCACTTGTTAGTGAGGCTCTCCAAAGGGCCGTGCAGATCGTGTACAGGTAGCTGGAAAACAGGTTAATCCTTTAACCGTAACTGTAATTGCTTTCTCTCTAAAACAAACATAAGAATTTTTTCTTCTCCTTGCTGGTCTCTTGTCGATCATAAGCCAGCAGAGCACAGCAGTGTTTTGGGTAGATACACACACATATGCACATTTCAAATAGCTAAGGCACAGCAGCATGAAACGCAGCCTCTACCTGCTCACACCGAAGGGACCCAATTGAAAAACTAAAACCATTTATTGTTCCCTTTTTCCTCTGTACACTCCCAATGCATTTTTATTGCTTTTTCATAAAACACTGCTGCAAATAATCAAGCATGACCATTGACATCCACAAGATTGAGTTTTAGGAACCATTAAATGAGCTTGCCCTCTTGGGAAGGTTCTTGCTCAGGTTGGTCTAAAGGTAATTATTCAGCAATTCCTACCTGTGGTTTTACCTTGCTCCTATGTAAGTCCCTGAATCTCAAACACTAGTAAGGTCACAGATTTTGCCTCAATAAGAGGATACCCCCAAACCAGGGCACATTCTTGGGGCTGTGCACACAAGCAAACACGTGTCTTCTCACAGCTGCACAGAAATCTTCAAAAACCCAAGACATCTTCAGGGTTAAATACAGCTGTCCATGCATTTGAATCAACACACGAGAATCTAAGACAAAAATTCCCAAAGAAAAAATACAAAGGTTTGTTTCTTCCTGAGCCTTTCAAGGTTTCAGCTTCATTTATAACAACAGCCAAATGCAGCACTGATGTGTTACAAAATTCTGCACTCAGGAGGCAATGGACTTCATTGCGCTATTTGATCAAGCTGAACATGCTGTGAATTTTTAAGGCTGCAGCAATAAATAGAGGGATATATTTAACAAAGAGGAGGAAAAAAAATAGAAATGACTACATAGGATACATGTATTCAGTCCAAGTTATTTCTTCCATTGAAAATTTATTAACATTGACATGCTTCGTAGCTCAGCATTAACACCACGCTTGCATTAACTGATCTGCTAAATGTTTCTAGAGGATGGATTTAAACAGAAGAAAAAAAAAAAGAGGTCTTTGATTTGCGAAGTTTGGAAGTCCTTGAGCTAGATTAAACTGCAGTCTTGTGAGACCGAGTAGCTCTGTGGGGGCACTTAACAGAAACGTTCAAGAAACTCATGGAAAGCTCCTCACTATTCACTCACAAAGTTGTCACAGTAAGGATTCACGAGTACAACTAATTAATTTTTCTTTTAAAAGTCTGCCTGACTCGCCAAAATATGCAGATTTTTCAGTGCTGCCTCCTGTTTGCAAAAACAGGGCTTGCTCTTCGAAGTCTTCACTCCTCAAGCTTCTGATTCAATTGATTTGATGTCCACTTAATTCTGGAGTTTTAATCAAAACTGATGGACGAAAATCAAGTTCCTTTTCTATCTTGTTCAATGTGCTTTTCAAATATATATTAAAAAAAAAAAAGCCAAAAACAACTCAGCTAAGCTGAATGCTGGAATATTAAGGAATTCTCAGGCCTCAAACACCAGCAGACCGCTTTTATTGCTGGCTGTACTGCAGGACAAACAGCATCAGTGTGAGCCTATCCTCATCTCTGGGCCAGCAGCAGGAGCCTTACCACAGCAGAAGAGGCTGCAATGATGGGGACTGTAGCTTAAATGAGCGTGTCTTATTTGTAGCTGGATCAGATTTCAGTGTATGTTACCACATGTTAAAAAATAAAGGTCTGGCAGACGTGCAACCTATTCACACAATGCTTCTCACTAATCCTGGCATTAGAGCAATCAGCCCAGAACCAATGCCATTAAAAGCCTGCTCACATAACTCAACAAAAAACATGTCAGGCATGGCTTACAACACTCCCCAAATCCCTTGCTCCTTCTGCAGAATTTATGCAAAGTAAATTTAAGTCCCTGGAAAAGAGCAGACAGACTCTTTAAACTACCAAAGTGACTTGCTGTGTCTCACGTACTCCAAAACAGCATTTCCACCAGGTACTCTGAGTCTATTCAAAGGCCTCTGATAACCATCCTGTCTGCTGCAAACCTTCCACAGCTGCCCCAGTTACTGCAGTCACCTCCCAGCTCTCCAGATAAGCCTGGAGCCAGCCTGGAGCACGAGGGTCATCCTTCCTGGCCATACGTTGCTCAGCTCCAAGCTATATGAAAGGATAAAACAGCTGTGCACTGAGAAATTCGGTCCAGGAACAAGAGGATAAGAACTTCCAAGCTCTCTCCATATCATCCAGAACCACACTGCTGTGGTTGCAGCCCCTCTCTGCTCACTGCTGTCGTCATTAAGTGAGGCGGGGAATTCTGCACCAGGGCCTGGGTTCCTCTGGGGATGGGCTCTGCTCTGCCTCCTGTGAGTTTTAGGACCTCCTTGCAGCCAAGGGGAACATTTGGCCCCAAGCAATCAGTCTTACAACACTGAGCACTTCTAATCTTTAATACTCATGGCAGCAACAACAGCTGTAGGGCTCCAGAGAGCACTGAGCCTCTGTCTCTCAAAAAGGTCCTTGTGTAAAGGAGGAGCACGCATGAGGCAAACAGGCAGGTCCTGCTGTTATCCCACAGAATGGGCAAAAAGACAAAGTGAGGAGGGAAAACAGTAGTCACAAATTACAGACATTTTGCTCCGAGGTCTTTGTATGCAGGACAGGGTGGGGGTGGCACTGATTTGGGCACTATTATTTAAAAGCAATTTGTCTAGCCCATTCAAAAGCAATTAGTCTACCAGTAGCAAAACGCATGTGAAAATACGAGCAAGGTCAGCTTCACCTCTCAAGGACAGAGATGGCCTTTTTGCTACTGGCAGACACAGCACTGGTGGCTTGGAGTTCCAAGGACATACCTAACAGGAATAACAATGGGTGAAAAAGATGGAAGAAGCAAATTGAGAACCACTCAAGGAACCAGAGAGTGTTGGGGGCCAGGCAGAAGGGCTGGCACTGCTGGAGGCACACCAGGACCAGGAGAACTCCCTTCCCTTCCTTCACACGAAGGATACGTGTTCATTTTAATTCATGATCCTGTGTACAGCTGCACAAATGCTGAAAGGGATGCAGTGAAGGTCCAATGGGATGCCATCACCCAGCAACCACGACCTGACGAGGCAGCATGGATGTTCTGCTAGAGGCTGAGGTGAATCTCCAGAAAGTTACAGCTTCTTTGCCTTGCTCAAGCTTCCTAATTCTCATCATCCCCTTATTAAAACTTAAAAAACCAAAGCAAGCTCACAGCAGTCACCCTGAGAAAGTACCTGGATGTTTTTACTGGATCGGCTCACACAGCCAGGTTGGGGCCCCAGGGGCCACGCGGATTAACCTCTGAGACCATTCAGTTTGTCAAGGACTCGATATTTAGAGCAGCAAAACAGCATACAGTGGGACCAAGCCAGTTCACGTTCGACAGCTCCAAGCTGTACCAGGCAACTCGTGCTCTGAGGATGTTGGGCATTGTGCTTCATTAGGAAACAAAATATAAGCTTTCCACTCCATTAGGAATGACTTTAGGAGTGAAAGCACATAAGACGACGACTCACCTCATCAACAATGCACTGCAATAACTGGAGAGGCTGCAATGGAAAGGAGAGAGGGAAAAAGTATTAGCCTATATGCAATATCTTTACAGTGGAGTGGAAAGAAAAAATCATTAATGCAATAAAATATAGCAAGATTAATCAACAGCAGCAAACTCTTATAAAAACATTGACGCTCAGGATGTTCTATTATTTCTAATGGTACCTAATCTAATACAGGCAGTTAAAGGTTTGCATTTTCTTCAAAATGCAATTTGCTAAGTTTAAAACAAGGCATTCAAGCATGCAGAGGAAGCAGCCATCAGGAAAAAGAAAAGTGAATTTTTTTCTGAACTCATAAAGCTTACCATTAAAGATCCCTGGTTTTTCTGAATCTGAAAAAAGGCAATATGTAATTAGCATGTCATAATCAAAATGACTCACTTGGACACATTATGATCACTGAGAGAAAATTATTGCATCGCTGGTGGCAATTTGTGGGCATGTGTTAACACAATTTACATAATGAAAATACACAAATGTTAATAGCTCGCTTCTCATTTATAGGCGAAAGTCAGCAGAATGTTAATTTCACACAACACTTTTTAGTACCCTCCAGGTTGTATTAGAATAGGAAGAAAAACCATAATCCATTTCAAAAGGCTGTTTACGATTCAGATATAAATAATGTTTTATATTGCTAGATTGTGAACACTGGGCTTAATGTTGCAATCATCGCTAATGTTATGAAGCTCACTCTTTTTAAATTAAAAACCGATTTATTTAAAATTGAAATTAAATCATAGTCAGAAATTAGAATTCTGGATTACTGCCAGGCCCGGCTCGCAATCCCTTTTTTGTGAAGAAAACTTTAATTATGTGGTTGAAGTCTATGCTGCTACTCAGGAAAGCCCCCCACACTCCACTCCTACCCAAAGTTTCCTACACATCCCAGCCAGGTTTGACTCTGGCCATAAGCAGAACGTTGCCATCCGGGAGGTGGAAAGTTTGAGCAACTTTGCGTTGCTTTGAATGGCAAAGGAAGGAGTTGCAGCCCGTTGTCTCTGCGCCTTTCCACATTTTGTACCATTGGTCTGGTTGGGAAATTAATTAACAGTTTGTAGGACGGAGCAGTTGGGCACCTACAGGGCACTGTGAATGAATCCATCCTACCAAAGCACCTTTTGATTACAAAAAGAAACAAGGGCAGAATTACAGCCGAACACAAAGCACAGAGCAGGTACTTGAACGTTTACACACGCTGGCATTCTGACAACAGGCACACGTGTATCATTTCTAATGGGTGGGGATAATTAATTACGCATCTTTCCTAAGCAGGCACCAAGTTGCATCCCAACACAATGACAATGCAAACAGAATGCAGTCTTTAGTGAAAACGTAACAGAGTTTGCTAGGCTTGCCCCTTCCATCTCACACTCTGCATTCTATCGCTCTGCAGTGATGAATGGGGCAGAGTCGCAGTGGCTCTGGATGCCCTCTCCCCTGCACCCAGCCCTGCAGCAGAGCTCTACAGGCAGGAAAAGCTGCTGTTATGCAGCGAAGCTCTTCCATACGGAGTAAGGAAACAAGCACACATAAACTTTCTGCATATAATTCTTTTTTTTTTTTCTTTTCCAGGATGAAAAAGAAAATAAATAGATGGATATAACCGACTATATTCTTTAACGGTCTATGTCAACCCATCAAAACCCAACAGAATAAAGTGGCCATTTTGCATTATTGCTAATAAACAAGAGGTGTTGTGAAAATAAAAGTCTTCATGCTTCACTTTCAGATGCTAAATGACAAAATAGGCTCTGCTTATTCAACAGGGGCCATTCTGAGCCCTTTATGAACGGGTGATGCAGCTGTACACCAAAACAGAGCATCACTCGATTCTTTAAAGGAAAAATAGATCTTGTCATGCAAAGGGCCGGAGGTGAGACCGTATACAGGTGCCTCAACACTGTTACACAATCACAGCCAATGTCTGTATGGGGTTTAAAATCCCATTTCTAATAGGAATAATGAACGCAATGGCCACACACACCCCAGTATTGCAGAGCTCTTCCCATGCTGAGCACCCACGGGAGCAGAGGGACGGCTCCCAAGGGAGGGAGATGTGTGCTCATCACACACGCATTGTTACCAGCTTTTATTACACAATTTTGATGGCAACACATTATTTTGAGATCATCTTCATAAATTTTGCATTAAGGTATCCGTGCCAGTACCTGGAATTGATTCAAAATGCTTAAGACACTCAATTACTTTTTAACACTGTTACTCGATGTAATGACATATCTGCTATTTCCCTTGCATTTGATGATGCAACATCATTGTAATTGATTCATTTTCTCAATTAAATAAAGCTACAGCGCTTTTCTCTCTGAGGAAGCCACAGAGACTCCCACGTCAGATGCATTACCTATTTGCTCTGCCTCAGATATATTGCTTGTAGGGCTGCACTGCGCTCCTCTGCTAGCTCCACTGGAAAACACAACACTACAACAGTATTTTTCAAGTTCTGAGCAGCAATGAACTCCGTTGTATTTATATTAGGCATATTTTTCACTGCTAAAACTATGTTGTTTACCTTTCCCAAGACCACATTATTGGGCAGCCCCTGCAACGATAAAACAAACCCAACCGACGACAACTTTACAGCCGGCGCTTCTGCTCTTGTGCACAGTTCATGAGAAAGCACAGCATCCAGTTTTATAGCACATTAAGAACAGTGTTAAAAGTACTCAACATAAAATGCTTTATCTCCCCGCTTGCCCGGCTCTGCTCTCCCCTCCCCAGCAGCCTGGGTTCGTGCACTATGGGGGATGAGAAGGGTAGGAGGCAGCAGAGCTGAGCAATTGGTGCCTGTGTTCTCTGTGCAGAGAAAAATCAGAGATCAGGAAAAAATCTGAGATCGGCCACGAGATTGCAACTGCGATGGCTGTATGCCTGCCATGAAGAATCTCAAATGGACACAATGGAAAAGTAAAGGATGACCCAGAAGGCACAAGGCGTGCTTTATAACGATGGAGGAGCGCGTCGAGGCGCCCCCAGGAGCGTCATTTCCATCCTGGAGAACTCACACCCATCCTCCCAGCATCCACGAGTCCCCTCAGCCACGGCCCAGCTACAGCTGGGAGCCCCATGGCCACGGATGGCACCTCCTGTTGGTCAGAAGGCGTTTGAAGCCTCTGAAGTGAAGCTGGAATTGTGTGTGCTTGCAGAAGGAAACCGTCCCTTTGATATTTCTGAAGCTGTATGCCGTTTGCTGTGGTTCTTTCAGTACTCAACGATAAATAAATCCATCACATTCATGGCCTGTTTCTCAGGTCACAAAATATCAGCAGTGCTGGACTCAACAACACACATTCTCCAAATGGCCCTTTTGTAGGTTGGTTAAAAATGCAGAAGTTTGCCTCCTGCTTCATCTACTATTTAATGAATGCCTGCGGTTACAAAAAGCAACTTTTGACAAACCATCAGGTTCCATCTCTGTCTCCATGGAGATGCTTTGGACGGGAAGTGGCTGAGAAGACCTCTCCCATCCCTCTCCCATGACATTCAGAAGCACAATCAACTGAACTCAAATGAATGGACCCCGGGTACCTTGGAGGAGTCACCAGCTACAGCTTTAATTTTCGCTTTTCCTCTCTGGAATTAGGACTTGCCCTGCAGCTCTTGTTTGAGAGATTTGCAGGTGACCCAGGGTTAGATCTTCCTGTATCAGTTAGCAAGTTTTCTCTTAATATATACACTGCTTTTCAAGCCAGTGATTTTTTTTTTTACTTAGAAAAATTAAAATTAATTGAAGAATACATAAACCAACAACTCATACAGTACTGTTTTTAAAGGAGGCTGCTGCAGAACATTTGTTTTTCCAATCCAGGGAACTGCTGATTTTAGAAATACGTGCAGCTTATTTTTAACCTTTGGGAAGGAAGGTTACATTTTACTGAACAGCAGCAACCACAGACACTGTTCCCTACTAACAAATGACCAAAGCACACTTGCTCTATCTCTGCACTGGTAGGACTGGAAGAAGACTTTGCAAGAGTACTGCACTTCCTTTTGGTCTTCACCACCATGGATCTTACCATATACACCTCTATAAAATAGACTTTTTTGCAAAATTGAAGTTGGTTAAGCTTCTGAAGGAGGTGGAAGCATCAAACCCAGTCAGCCCAACCCCTCTGATTTGTTCCCAAATTTCTGAACAACCCAATCCCACCATGAGGATTTTGCAAATGGCAAACTGCTATCGCTGTCACAAAACAAAGGATGGAAAAAAGGAAGAGAAACAATTTCAAAATAATAATAACAAAAAAACACAATTCACAACAACCTTAATATTAAATATATTCTTACAATTATATTACGCTGGTTTTCCCAGAGGTCTGAAAGCAAATTTATATAAAGAGATTATTTCATCCACCATTGAACTGCAGCCACTTCTCAGAGAAATCTGTTTACCAGAGTTTAGTAACACAATTCAACAAACCGGGCATGAAAAACGGTTGGAATTACGGAGGGAGCATAAAAAGCCAACAACAGCCACAGCTGAGTGGGACCAGGATGCTGCTGCTAACATTGCTCCTGATCAGCAGGAATGTGGGAGGAGCGAGGCTTGGGGAAAGTGCTGAATTTAGTAGAATCATAGAACAGCCTGAGTTGGAAGGGGCCCATCGGGATCATGAGCCCAACTGTAATGTTTAAGACTCCCATTTAGCAACGAGATGCCAAAGAGAAGTGCTGAAGGCCAGCAGGTGGACATCCATCAGGACGCTCCCTCCTCATTACTGCTCGTCCCTGCTTGCTTGGACGGAAACAGGTAAGAAGTCCCTGGTTAACACTTGCCACTGGAACCCACCTAGAGAAGTCCTGAGCTTTTGCTGACAAGCTGTAAAACCAACTGTGATCATACGTGAGCAGAAATGACACAATTCTAGGGATAGCTGAAAGAAAGGACCCACAGAGGTCAAAATGCAGGTATACAAATGGGAACTGAAGTGAGGCGCAGAGGGTTTGGGCAATGACAGTCAACCTATCCTGCATCACTCCACTGCTCACCACAGCCAGCACCGCAATTCACTGCGAGTCGCACACGTGGCTCCACAGGGCTGGCACCTCCAAACGACAGAGCACAACCGATGGAATCACTGAGGTTGGAAGAGACCTCTGTGATCCTTGAGCCCAAGCAGCTCCTCTCTGAACTCCTTTGGCTGCCCTTGGAGCTGCTGCACTCCCACCTCTTCTCATCCCCAGGTCCTGGTTAGCGGGAAGGAAACAAGCCTCCTCCTTCAAGCCAAGAGAGCCTGCTGAGAGCATGGAGGAGATGAACACTTTCAGTCAATCCAATACCTGCTGACACCTCCTAAGTGGCCACCTGCAC